GCCAGGCTACTCGGCCAGCGAACCATTTCCCTGCTACTCGGGCATGAACTGAATGAAAGAACTGGAGACGAGTTTCGGAGTACCAAAAAACTGGAGATCACATCTCTTGGATCAGAATTGGGCCTCATTCCCAGTTCGACAAATTGTACTCTGGATTTGCTGAATGAGTTGATATGGTGATGGATGCAAACAGCTTTCGTAGCCAGTTGATGAGCTGACTTCAAATATGTGGGTTCTTTCCAATGTATATAACATTTCACGAATATATATATATATATAGACATGCTTATTGTGTGGGTCAAATCCATTCAAATATCAGTATGGCGGTAAGTTCACCAACGTGTGGAGTCTTTTTTTGACCCACATCCAGGTGAACACAGATCCTAGTGATGTGCACTTTCCCTTCAGCTGGGGTCGTTGGACTTTGAGAGCTTGCGCATCAGGCGAAGCCCACACGAAGCCCCTCTGTGCACAGCCTCGGTTTTTGGAGCTGTTGGTGATAGCTTTGGAGCTGTTGGAACTCTTTGCTTGGGTGCAGATGCCAGTAGTTCCAAATGCCCCACCCATCAGATGGCCTTCGTCGTCAGAGGGCTCACGCCATGTCGAGACGACGACGAACTGAGGCCGGCGCCATTGATCGCCCTGGTGGCTTGCCAGGGCCAATCAGGCACGCGTTGGATATATAGAGATGATGAGATGATGTGTGTGTGTGTTTCTTTTTAAAGAACCCTTGGTATGTACAACCCAACATGAAGCGCAAAACCATGATAGCCAATGGCGTGTGCTTTTGGCATGATGTCGGCTTCTTGTTAAACACTTTTGATCCGTGCTTTCTGGTCTGTACCCATCTTGCTTTCTGGTTTGTTGGTGGCCATCCATGGGAATTGCTGGAGTGGCCAATCCCAGCAGAACCTCGACGCCAGGCGAGCTCCCTCCTTGGGTGGGCTTAGCCGTGGTCATCGGTTTGCACCCTGGAAGGTGGTTTGACATGAGGGTCCTTGGATCAGCACAATCAGGGAAGGCTCCTTCATGAAAACCATGGAAGGCTCTTCACTCAGAGAAGGTAAGCTTGCTCATGGTAACAAAGGGCATTGCTATGAACGGAGCGCTCCTGGCCTTACTACTAGTAACAAGAAGCTACTAGTAGCTCCTGTAGCCAAGGGCATCGCTACTAGGAGCATAGAAGCTTTCACCAGACGAGACTTCAGCATCCTGGAGATGATGCTGATGCAACGGCTTGGTTTTGCTTTCTTTTGCTTCAACCAGAACACCGTATCACACTGAAATGCCGGAGACCTTTTCGGCGGTTTCTGACTAAGTCACTAAGCCAAGCATGATCCCAAAGCTAGGACGTAAAGGAAAACTGTGCTGAGGTGGGCTTTCGTTGTTTTGTTTTGAACGAAATGAATACTGCTTGAGCTATCCTGCGTCCAGTAGCTAGTAGCTTACTTAGCCCTTACTTAATTAAGTAGGCGTCTATTTAACAAAGTAAGGGTGAGGGCGAACAGAAAAGCAAACAAGTTCAATGGCCATTCCTTGACAGGGGTAGTCCCGAAGTTGCCGCCGGGCGTCGCTTGTACCGCCGGGCGTCGCTTGTTCGGTGCCTTTACCGAGGCCACCACCACTGGCACCTCTGGAGAACGGTCAAGGAAGCAGTTGGGGACTTGGCTCTCGGAAGAATCTCCTTCATGTCTTTGGGGATGGAGTGCTTGATGGGGCTTGGTGATTTGGACATCCTCTTCAAGTAAATGCTTTCCCTCGCCTCCCCCAACCTTCCCAGTTGTTAAATCATGCAACCAAACTTAAAATTATGGGGGTGTTTTGAGTCTTTAGCAACTTAAAGGGCTAAAGCTCGTGATTGGCCGCTTGACGCAAGACGACGAACTTCCTTTGCAGCCATCCATCAGTTTTCCAAGGCCGTACCCCATCGTCGGACAGCATCATGCAGTGCGGGACGCCTCCAACGTTGGGAGCCTGACAGCGTCCAAAGTTGGGATCATGCACCATCGATGGATCACCCTGAACCGAGGGCACAAACGCTTCGCTTGCCCGTCCGTTTGTGTCGGATTTAGAGTCTCACTGGTCTCAAGGATCGGATTTGGTGAAAAAAAACTGCTAGGATTGTTTGCTTTTGCTGTAACATTATGTGAAACGCACTTCATGCAAACGACACAAGCTCTAGAAAGATCATTGGAAGACGGAAACTCCTTGTGGGGGATTTCCCAATCTTAAAGAGGGCTGTGATGCCTCTAAGGTTTGTTCGTCTCAGACAGAAATATCAAACATATATGATGTATTAATGTATTGCCGACAGTGTCGAGGGCTAATGCAAAGCTGGACCGACTGACATTGCACTGAGATTCATTGCAATTGGGTTTCACCTTTGTGGCCTTTTGGATGTTAAACACATCATTTATGCGGTTCAAGTATTTGATGCCAAATCTTCTTGTTCAACATATGCACCTTACACCTTCGAATGGCGCAACATTCTTGCACCAATACAGAAACCAGATCAGATTGGTTTTCTCAAGCTAAGATGGTCAGGCCCTTTCCCTTTTGCTTGTTATTGTGATTATGTTCGTCGTTTTGGTCCGCACCGTCTTCCACGCTTCAAACCAAGGCGCCCCACCTCCGGAGAGCTGGAGAAGGACTCGCTCTCGACGCCCTCGGCAGGCGGAAGAAGCACGACGAACAGTGAGTTCAGGTTTCGGGAACGTCCTAGTAGCGATGCCAGGAGCCCCTAGTAGCTTCTTGGTCATAGTAGTAAGGCCAGGAGCCCCTAGTAGCATCGATGGACACGCGGAACGTGGAACGATTGACCCGACCAAACAATCGCCAGAAATTGAGGACTCTTGGGGTTCGTTCTGTGGCTGGCAGGCTCAAAGCGGACGCCACTGGGAGCCAAGCCACGCAGCTTGGCGCCCAGGAGTGGAGGTCCTGGGTTCTCGACCAAGCACAGAAACGATCCTTTTCTTTTGTTTCTTTGAAAGAATTGTTTGATATCGGATCATCAGTCTGAATCAATCTGTGATGTTCTGTTCAGGTCACAATTGTTTAGCAGCTGCAATTGCTGCAGGGCGAGTTATTGTATCTTGGTGAAAAAGGGCATCAGTTGCCGGCGCAGATTCCTTGTTTTGCAGTGATGGACCCCGAGAATGTCTTGCTCAAACATACTCGGAGGAAGCAGTTCAATGAGTTCAACAATTCTGTATTGACAGATGCAAAAGCCATTTTTGGCTTTTCATGTTGCTCACCACTTGTCTTTCTAGTCCTGCTTGTCATAAGGCTGGAGCTTGATCATGGCTGAGGAGTCAACGACGCAAAACCAGCCAAACTGAGATTCTTTGTTGGTTCTTCCGAGACCACCATGGTTTCCATGGGCCCTGGTAGACCAGGGCCCCATCTGCAGGACCACCAGGGCTGAGTGCGAGCCACTCGGGCTGAAGATGTGAATTCGCTGCAAACCCACACGAGTTCCCAGGGCCCAGACCGGGGCAGAAGTCGAGCGAAGTTGACGTTGATGCCATCGCAGGATTTGACTGGGTGCTGGAACTCGTCAGTCATTGCACCGGTGTTTCTTCTTTTTGGCCGCTCACTTGTCGAGCCGCTTTTTATCAGTTCGGAGCGTGAATAATTGCATTGCAAGGTGCACGAGGTGGGTAGGGAAAGATCCGAAACCTCAGAACCTACAAAAAGAGCTCATCGCTACCTTCATTGGGAACCTCGGACCTCGTCGGATCTTTCCCCGCGAGTTTGCCACCTGAAATCTTTCGTTTACAGCGCTGACACCAAGAGCGTGTCGCAAGGCCCTAGCCAGGGCAAATGCTTGTTTCTTGCAAGTGATGAGCAGATTCAATCCTACTCCAACATTCTACAACACAAGGATTCGTCCCACCGAAAACAGACATGGTTGGTATTTGTTGGTATTTCATTTTTCCCATGATCACAAGCTGCTTTAGTCGACACGGGTGTCACCTTCACAGAGTGAGAGACGAGCCGGCCGGAGGATAAAATTTGATTTTGGGAAGCGCAGGCCCCTCCACACAGGGGGCCACCGCAGGGACAAGGCTTGCGGAATGGGAAAGGAATGGCCTGCAACAAGGGGCAGGCTCATAGATGGTCTCAGTGAAGCTTGGGGCATTGACAAAAGGCAGTGTAGTGAAATAATGTGAAATCAGGGTCTATCTCACAGATGTTGCTTTGCTTTGTAGGCTTAGCATGTCTATAGATACCCGTAGTATGTTGGATCATGACTGCCCTGTGGGACCAACCTCTTAGGATCAGGTTCGTCCGCTTCAAAACAGTGCACATGCTCAATGCTCGTATCGTTGAAATTCTGTCGTCAGCATGCTCTAGGCTAGGACCCCTTGCTTCAAAGACTTTGAGAGTGCCATGCCCCGTTGGGTTGCCGAAATTTGTCTCGGGTTGTACAGATGACCGACTTGTGCTGTCAAAATTCGGCGACACAAGTTCAGGGACACGATGTGTGAGACAGGTAGATCGTGAACACAGGGGCTTGGTGCAACCAGAGAGCCACCCGCTGAGCGCGTTTGGCTTCTTTTCTTTTTTCATGCTTATTCCATGTTTGCAAACACCGTCGTGAACTCAGTCCAATTCAGCCTGTCGAGGAACGATCACATGGTTGCACCAAATGCTCAGACTGCGGGTTTGTCTGTGATGACAGTTTGCCCCAGCTGCTATCAGCATTCCAGAAAGGGCGACGAGTGTGAAGGCACAGCTACACAGATCTAGTTCCGGTAGAAAGCGGAGGTGAGGGAGGCGGTTTGATGGCTTGACAACTCAAACAAATCACATGCCTTTTTCACAATTAAAGCAGCCTCCCTTGCGCCTCCGTAATGCTGGGACTTTTGTCATGCGCCTTGATGTTCTAGAAGTGGTGAATGGCGTGGCCTATTTCAGCCAACACAGGCCAACACTCCAGAGATTCATCCTTCCACTCCAGCCAATTCAACCATGCGTTCGGTCAGGCCGAGGCGGCCAACGCCACTGTCATGACAACTCAAGTTTAATGGATGCCGTTCCCTGAGAAATGCTGAACCCCACGGATGAAAAAGAGCCACGTCAGAGGCAGTGCGCAAGCAGAACTCAAGAAGGCAGACGTGGCAAGATTGGTGTGTTTGTGTGTGTATGTGTTTTGGCATCCTTCGACATAGCCTAGGTCCGTAAAGATTCTCTCGCTCACCAGCATGTCAACGAATCTGAGCTTCGCACGTTTGTTTTGTGTCAAAAGCTCCGCACGACACATGGCGAGACCAGGAGAGTCACTCTGGGAGACCAGTGTCACTCATGGGTGGAAAACAAATACAAGAAGCTACTAGTAACAAAGGGTATTGCTACTAGGAGCGAGAACGCTACTAATAGCTCCTGGCCTTTCTACTAGTAACAAGAAGCCACTAGTAGTATATAATGCCCTTTTTACTAATAGCGATGCACCTGTTACTAGTAGCGGTAATCAGTCCATGGCTACATAACCAAACAAGCTCCGGTGTCTTGAAGCGCATCACCAACGGCATTGCGGATTTCACATTGGGCGTCGTACCACTGGTTCTTAGTTCCTAGAAGTGATGTAAGGAAGAAGGGCTCCTTTGTTTTGTTGGTAGGAACCAAGAACTGTAACTGAAGGAACACTTACGACCTACGACTGGCACCTGAATTTCATGGCACCTGCCGTGGGCGAAGATGCAAAATTGGCAGCTTGGTTCTACTGGGCGAAGAAGAGAATGGGCAAAGCATAAGACCCTTGGTGAGTGAAATTGCCCGCGCCGGAACGATCCTTGACATTCATTTTGCCGGAGGCAAAGCATCTGTCATTTTCAATAGCAGGGATTTCAGTGAGCAAGGTCTCATGTCTCATTTTCCAAGCACTTGGGCCTAGGCCACATCAACCTTGTATGAAGAGAATGTGCATTTTGGCACTCATTTGGAGGCCGGGCCCCCTATGCCACATATGCTTCTCCCGTTTGGCGTCTATTTTCGTTTGCGTGCGTCAGCGTTTGGTTCTGGACGCACGCAGCGCTGTCCCCGTGCGTCCTGGCTCAGGTCTGGGGTAGCTGGTACGACATGGAGAAGAGATGCTGGGGCCAGCACCTCACTTGCTGTGACATGTAGGTGGCGGTTCTATTGATTGAGACTCTTACTCAGTCTGCATCCTTCGCGTTTTCAAGCTGAAGGAATCCAAAAGGAAGCGATTGGAGGAAGCACTGAAGCACCTAGGGATTTCCCAAGGGCATTCTTTGAAGCCGCAAAGCCACAACAGTTTGATTTGCCCAAAGATCTCCAACTCCAGGAGGCTATCGCTGTTAGGTTTGAGGCCATCGCTAGTAGGTTGGAGGCCATCGCTAGTATGTGGATGCAGATCCTCCCAGATTCTTGTAGAATTTCATTGCTTCAGATCCTCCCAACATTTTGCTTTCCAGGTTATGCCTGCTGCAGGGTGACCAGGCAGCAACAGAGGCGCTGCCCAAAGACGGTGCGAAACCTGGAGAAAGTCTGCGTGATAGTGACCAGTAGAGATGCTGGTGAGGAATGACACCTGCCCAAGCTTTGATTTATGGGTGAACCCTTTAGTCACTTTAGTCTTGAAGTAGTTCTCCAAGCACTGACATCGAGGCACCATATGCAGAAGGCGAAGAGGAGAGCACTTGGAGAAGCGAAGAGTATGATCAGATCATGTGGGGAACCTCTATATTATAGTGATCCCCAAATAGATAGAAACGGTTTCCAACACATTTCTAGTGGGGATATACTTCTCTTTAGAGGTTGGGAAACCCATTATAGCAAGCTGCAGCGAGCTGTGAGCCGGTGAGAGGAGGAGGAGGAGGACATGGAGGTGAAGGTGGGGACCGGGGACGTGGGTCCAGTGGTGATGATTGATCGCTAGGGACTGGCATTGCTGTGGAAGAATCGATCAACAAAGAACAACTCACACGAGATTCTAACAGCTGCAAAACTGCTGCAAAACAGACTCCAGAACACCATCCAGAAAAGCAAGAAATAACAAACTGCTAGAAATCGGCCTAAAACCACTCCCTGCATGGATCCACAGATCGTTTTTTTCTCGACTCATGTGTAATTCACACCTCCGGAAATATTTCACATTTGAGTCCAAATTTGAGCCCACTTTTGACTGTTCCCCAGATAGCTTAAAGCTAGAGGGGTTCTTACTTCTCAATGACTGGGTGGCTGATCGGCGTTTTGGTTCACTGCTGCCGCTGCTGACTTGTCTCCCCACTTGTTTGCCTGTGATCGGCATTTTGTCTGCTGTTGCTGCTCCCCAAGAAGGGTTCTAGATGGCAGTTTCGCCACAGCCTTAGCCCATTTACGGTAGTTCTGTGCGCAAAAAGCTCGTGGAAAGGTCCCACTCGCTGCAGTTCCGACACCCACTTCTTAGTGTCTCCCCGCTTGCCTGTGTTTTCAGAGCCACTCATGGTACCTCACTCTCCGAGGTTCCCCCAGGCAGTCAGCTTCCTCACAGGTTGGCCTTTTCATGCCTTCTCATTTCAGGAGCCCGGCTCACGACCATGGTGAGAACCCTCAACAAAGGCATTCATTTTCCTGCGAGTGTGCTACTGTTCTTTTTGGGAGAGTTACGTCAAGTATATTTGATTTAATTTGATCTATACGTTCATTTCATTGATTGATGTTGGTGTCTTGTGGGATCATCGTTTGGTTAAATGGCTGTTGGGATGTTTCCAAAAAGAAAAGACCTCTACTCCCTTTGATTACGATAGTCACAAATCCAAAACTCCCTGTTTTATGACGCTTTGATATTCGGACTTCTTCCACTGGAACAAGGGAAGGCCTGATAGCAACGGAAGTGGATTGTCAAGAGGATCCTTAACAGTTCTAAACAGGCCGGCGATTGCCATCACGACTAGGCTTCTTCGCCCACTCCCCGTCCCGATCCTGTTTTCACCAACACCTCAGCACGCTCCGGCTGTCCCGAACTCGTCTGAGGTGAGCCGTCGAATGGCGGAGCTCTTGGAGAAGAATCCCTCATTCACCGGGGACGTGCCCACGCCCGACCAGGCGCCACCGAGCCGCGCGCGCGAGGTTTGCTCCTTGTGGCGTGGAGTGCCTTGGTGCCCTTGCTGAGTCTCGCGGGGCCGTTGTGTTAGCTGTGAATGAGTTTACAGTATATGAACAATGCAAAGGGGGTTTGCGGTGGTCCTCGGTTTTTCCAGAGGCTGAGCACCACTGCAAGATACAGTCATGAACAGTATCAGTATGAGCGTGATGAGCCACCAGAACCCATCCGGAAAGACCACCCAAGTGTTTGACGCCGAATTGTAAGGGAATAACATAGCTATATAATGGCTATATATGTGTGAAACTATGCCTTAAGATTCTTGCCAAGTAGCACCTGCCCGAGACTGCATGAGCTTGGACAGGCCAGATAGATGGGTATGATACGGATAGGTGCCATAAATGTCGAGAGGTTTGCTAAGGTGCTAGGAAATCCTAGTAAGTACTAGATAGGCCTTACTACCAGGAGCAAGGAACAAAGACGCTACTAGGGGCTCCTGGCATCGCTACTAGTAACAAGAAGCTACTAGGGGCTCCTGGCATCGCTACTCGTAACAAGAAGCTACTAGGAGCTCCTGGCATCGCTACTAGTAACAAGAAGCTACTAGGGGCTCCTGGCATCGCTACTAGTAAGAAGAAGCTACTAGGGGCTCCTGGCATCGCAGGGTAGGCCAGTATGGCCGCAGTAACAATGAGTGGTGGTAAACCTCAGGGTGGTTGGGTGGGTTCAGTTTATTGTCGGGTACCATTTTGGCTCAAGGCCAAGCTGGTACCTGACCCCCCCATTGAAGATAAGTGGGGGGGGTTTGCCTGCCATGGATGGCCTGCTTCCAGACCGAGCAACCCTCGGGACGTGGACCACACTGCGAGAAGCAGCCACGTGGGGGGGTCTGGAAGCGGGCCTGGTGAGAGCTGTGGCACGACAGCTGGGAGATCCGGAGTTGAACGCACTGCCAGTACTGGCCGTGATCCCGATCGAGGTCTTCGAAGCGGCGCTAGGCAGTGCCACTCGTGGTGACAGGTCCTTGCACGAGACCGAGAAGGCACAATGGAGGCTGGTGCTCAGTGCGATCCGGGTCAAGTACGGTGCACCCTCGTTGTTCGCCTCCACAGTTTCCCACACACCGGAGATACCTGCTAGCAAAGGTGTTGCTGCAGGTTCGAGTGGGACCAAGCTCAAGTTGAAGATGAGTCAAATTATCGATCAAGGGGTGGACTTCGAGGTTGAGATGTTGCCCAACACCACCTTGCAGAAGATGAGGTCGCAATACGTGATTTCGGAAGGTGACAACCCCCTCGAGAAAGAGGAAGTGACGGACGCCCAGTTGAGTTGTTTGTTCCACAAGCTTCAATCAGGGCAGCCCCCGTTTGTTGACATGGGCGTGTGGGGACCACATGGTGACAGGATTGCAAGGGCTATGAGGTTTGTGTCACAACAGTGGCGTGACGGGCAATGGAAGGCTGTTGAGTTGCCAGGTGCATCAAGTCTCGACTCCTGGGAGAAGTCCTGGCGAATCTTCAGGACGGCAGCCCTCATGTTGCAGATGGCCACAGCAGCCTCCCTTGATCGGTACGCCTCACAGTTCAGGACGAGGGTACTGCAGCATCCAGACGTGTGGCATCTGGCTGCACAAGCCGACATCAGGTGCAGGACAGAGTTCTGGTCCCAAGAGAAACGCAAGCAGGAGGCATTTCATGCAACGCACGCAGCATTGTCAGCTATCGTACCGGATCAGCCGTGGAACTCGGTCATTCGTGCCAGTGCATCACATTCAGAGTTTTGGTCCAGGGAGTTTGAGAAGCAGGCCATGTTGTACGTGATGAACTCAGCCAAGTCAGTCCCGGCGAAGCCAGCCGGACCGAGCGCGGCAGATGATCAGAGCTGGATGAAACCACAGCCCAAGAAGAAGACAAACAGCTCATCCGGCTTTGACCCTCAACGGAAGGATGGCAGGTATTTCCGGAGCAAAGCAGGCATCAAGATTTGCTATGCTTGGTCGAGGGCAGCAGATGGGTGTTCGAATGATCGTTGTGACAAAGGATTTGCACACATCTGCGAGTGGTGCAGGGCACCCCGCAAGACGATCGATTGCCCTCACAGCCCAGGATGGAATCCAGACAAGAAGGAAAAGCCGAAAGGTAAGGGCAAGAGCAAGGGGGAGGAAACCCCCACAAGGGACAGAAGCACATGTGACTACACTGCCCCTCAGTGGCTCCTCAGGGAGCAGAGAGCGACGTTGAGAGGAAGTTGGCGCTACTGCGGGAGCGGCTGAAACGAAGGGCAGTTGACATTGAATTTGATGCAAGCAAGCGTGCAAGGACTTCACCTCCCAAGGAGTTGGACGTTGGCATTGTTTCACGAGACCGCTGCTTTATGGAGCTCTTTGCGGGTGAGGCTGGACTCACTCAAGCTGTCAACAGGTTGGGGATTCCAGTTTTCGAACCTGGAGAGATCAGAACAGGAGGCCGCATTGCAGTGGGTACAGACCTTTTGTCCAAGGAAACTTTCAAGAAGCTCAAAACAGAAATCAAGTCGAAGAAGGTGAGATGGTTGCACACAGCTCCACCGTGCAAGACCTTCTCGAGGGCCCGAAGAAGGGACAAGTTTGCAAAGGCACGACAACTCCGTTCGGCTCAACAACCGGCTGGATTGGAACCCAAGACATGGAGGGTGAAGGAGGCCAACTTGCTGGCTTCGAGAGCGGCTCAGTTGTCGCTCTTGCAGTGGAAGGCTGGCGGATGGTTCTCGTTGGAAAATCCTGGAGGCTCCTACATCTGGCTTTACGAACCTGTGAAGCGCTTGCTACAGCTTGAAGGCGTGAAGCTTTACAAGGGCGACCAGTGTGCTTTCATGGGAGAGTACGTCAAGCCCACAGGTTGGTTGAGCAATGCAAGATTCATGGAGGTCATTGAGAGGCGTTGTCCGGGGAGGCCTGAACACCAGCATGAACCGTTGATAGGCTTCACCCTTGACTTTCATGGCAACAAGGTTTTCAAGATATCACTGGCTGCAGAATATCCACAGGGCCTATGCATTGAGTTGGCAAAGGCTTACGCCAAGGAGCTGGAGACGACCAGAAATAGGCCGGACAGCTGGAAGCTAGTGGTGAAAGAGGATGCCAAGTTCAAGGACCTCTTTTCCAAGAAAGCATTGGTTGAGCAAGAGAATGAGCAGTGCATTGGGGGCCTCAGAAATCCTTGGCATGCAGTACAGATGGTGCCTAAGTGGTTGCAGGTTGGGAACATTGGTTGGCGCGTGTTGCAGTCGAGTCTGGGACAGTTGAACAAGCTTAGCAATCCTACGATGTGGGTAGGCAAGGAATCAGGAGAACTACCAGAGCATGAGTTGACCTGGTTGAGGGCGAAGGTAGCCAAGGTCTTTGGTTGCGCGCCCCATGTGCATGGGCTCTGGGGGGCATTGCTGGAGCGATTGGTGCACCTGAGTGACGACCCAGACACCGAAGCAGCGAGCTGGCCAAGAAAGGGAACACCTTTGGGCATCGTCAATGAGATACCCGTGGGAGGAGTGTTCCCGGAGGTGGAGGAAGAAGACCCGTGGCAAGAAGGCGAGAAGCTAGACTCATTAGCAGAGTTGGAAGGAGCGTTGAACAACTACATGTCATACGAGGAGGAGAAGGAGGCCGCAGATGCACTTTTCCAGAAGGAGGTGGATAAAGGGTTCGTGCGTTGGGCCAAAGACAAGGAGGTCCTAGAAGACATGTATGGGACCCTGGTGCCATCGGCCATTGGCTACAGCTCAAAGATCAAGCTGGATGGAACGGTGAAGGGTCGGCTAGTGCATGACCTGAGGAGGAGTCAGGTCAATAGCCACATCACCCTGAAAGAAAGACTCGTTTTGCCCAGGCTGAGGGATGCAATGGAGGATGCACTCCACCTGCTTGAGACACGGACACCTGATGAGAAGGTGAGATTTATGAGCCTGGACTTCTCCGACGCCTTCAAGCACCTGCATGTCAGACAGAATGAGTACAGATACAGAACAGTGTTGTTCGGGGTCAAAACAGGACCTTTGGTCTGGGGCAGAGTTGCAGCGTTGATAGCAAGGTCGACGCAAGCATTGTTCCATCCAAGTCGATGCCAGCTACAAATCTTTGTTGACGACCCCTTGATTGTGGCCAGGGGTACCGAGACTCAGCTTAGCAGCATTTACAACATTGTATTGTTGTGGTGGTTGACATTGGGTCTGAAGGTGGCTTGGTCAAAAGGATCAGTGGGATCCAAAGACGGCTATGTCAAGGTCATGGTGACCGCAAGCAAGTTGGAGGAGTGGAGAATGCTCCTCGAGAAGTTTGACACCAAACCCTTGGTGCGAAGAAAATTGGTGCAGCAATTCACAGGCAAGATGTCCTGGGCGGCGGGCTTCGTCCCGCAACTCAAGCCATTCGCCCGGATGCTGTACGCAGCCTTGACATCCAATCCAAGCAGGTTGCAGGGCCAAGGACAGGTCTATCACGGGCAGATCGAGCCGGCGCTGCGCTGGATCAAGCGGTTCCTATGGAGTTGGAGACCGGAAGGTCTGGAAAGAACAGTGTATGCGCACACTAGACATCGGTGTCGGCTAGATTTTCTGGTGGACGCCTCGCCGTGGGGCGGGGGAGCAGTACGGTTGTGTGCAGGCCAGAAGTTTTCTCCCTCACATGGACGGCTACAGATGAGGCAAAGACTGGTGCAGTGATTGGTGAGCCTGGGTCACAAGCACTGTGGGAAGCTTACATGATGCTACGTTGTTTGTGGGCCTGTGTGAAGACAGGTGATCAGGGCTATATCAGGATTCGTGGAGACGCACAAGGAGTTCTGTTTGCCCTAGTGAGGAGAGCAGCGAAGGCACCTTTGCTGAATGAAGTCACAAAAGAAGCGGCGCTGCGCCTCGCTGTCCACTTCGCTTCACTAGAAGCGCCGCGCCTGTGGAGCGAGCAGAACGTGTGGGCAGATGCCCTTTCCCGCGGCCAGATGCCCAGAGAGCTTTCTCACCTGCCGAGGGTGGAGCGCGCGCCTGAGCTGTGGCACGAAAAGTGAGAAACAGTGAGGGGGAGCGCGTGTTCCCACACTGAGAGGGCATTCCGAAGAGGGGGAGTGGCCGACCGAGCAGGGGAGACCCGGAGGAAGGGAGAAACCAGCCGAGTCACGTCGCTCGTATCATGCGATCAGCGTGAGTGTCGGCCGCCCGCGTGCAAGGCAACTTCAATGCCGAGATGGGCATCACACGTGCGCCAGGGAGTAACCTGGAAGGGAGGGGGTTGGAACATGTCATTTGCTGTGTTGAGTTTGACAAGCAAGAGACTGACCGCTGTGTTCGTGCCCCGTTTTCGGTCGGAGTTTCGTGTTTTGTATGAGCCGTTTGACGTGAGAAGATTGTCAACCGATCTCCCCCGGGAGACGGCAGGGACGTTGTGGCCAGGGCTGCTGACGCAGCCCAACGCACCTGGAGAGACGACTCCAGTTGAACCAGGCATGGCGGAGAGCCTCTTGAAACACGTCGCACGCATCGCGTGTGCGCACCCGGTTGAGGTCTCCTCTGCCATCAGTTGCTTGAGTTGTGATGCTGGTCCATACCATCCTGGTCGCGAACTAGATCATAAGTGCCCCAGACACCCTCCCGCCGGTGTAGATGGGGCGGACGAATTGGGGCTAGCTTTGGGATCTGCGTTGGATGACTGCAGGTTTGACAAAGCGCTCCCAGGTGACACGGGCAGAGAGTCAGAGGCTTCGTGGCAGATGGTGAACCCGGAGGTAGAAGAGGAGTCGGAAGGCAGCAGTGGTGGGGAGGAACTACCAGCAAAGCTGCCGAAGATCTACACCGACGACAACGTGCAGGCACGTATGAGGAAAGGTGCACTCCTGGCAGTGAACAAGCCAGCCACAGAGCTGGAGACACCCAAGGAGGTGGAGCACGCCGGCTACAGCGGCTCCAGCTACTCCCTTTAGGAGCGCCGAGCCTGGAGTGAAACCGTGTGCCACGGGCAACAGAGCAAGGGGTCAGGAAGTAGCAGAAGACCCTGAGGAGTTCAAGAAAGCCCTGGAGGAGTTCCAGAATGACAAGTTTGCAGCCTCGAACCAAGCGACGCACAAGGCCAGGGTCCAATGGTGGCTTCATCGAGCCAAGAGCCTGGATGTGACACCCTTCCCGCTGACTGTGCAGACAATCGATATGGCAGGAGCCCTACTGAACGTACTGGCCTACGGCCAGTACAGGTCCTCAGCCATGAACTTCGCAGCCTTGAAGAGAGAACATGTGCTCCTGAGCCACCCATGGGCGGATGACCTCACCCTGGCCATCAAAGACGCAATCAGGTCACGCGTCAGAGGCATTGGGCAGACAAGCAATGCCCCGCTCCAGATAGAGTCTGGGGGTTTGGGCTGTGGGGTAGTGTCCCTATACCTGCCGGCCTCCAAGACAGACTCAAAGGGCGAGGGCGCACTTCTCTGGGCTGCTTATGCGAGACCCTACCGAGTTTGTGCCCAGCGGCCGCGGCGAAGAGGCTGCTGCAGGCCGCCGTGGAAAGTGGACATCAAGATGAGAATCCATTCCTCGTCACTGACAAGCCCAAGACACCTCCGACCAAGCAGGGCATGATCAAAGCTTTCCGTCGAGTGGCAATCACGATGGGACTATCCGAGGAGGAAGCCCAGAACATCACAGGCCACATGCTGCGACCTGTGGGCGCTCAGTTTATGGCGAGAAAAGGCATTGAGTTTTACAAGATCCAGCTCTTTTGTCGTTGGGGCAGCGATGCAATACTCAGGTAGCTGAGGGAAGTCCCACTGGAGAATGCAGATCAATGGCTGGCCGCCACGATGTCCGTGGGAGAGGTCATGACGCAGTCAGGCAGGTTGCGTGAAGCTGTTTGAGACGGTAGCAAAGACGCTCTAATCTGGCGGAAAGGAAAAGCCAGCACTCGTTGGGTTGTATAAGAGGGGGTGAGGGGAGTTCAGTACTCCACACCCCAAGTCCGAGAGCTATCGGCTGATGTTGCGAGGTACGAGCAAGGGCTCACCTGCCTCGACATCAAACCGAGACCGTTGCTGGGAAGGCAGGTCATTTGCTGCAACCTGGAAAACGGGATGTGGTGGGTTCTTGGGAGTTTTCTTCTTGTGTGGAACGACGCTTGTTACTAGAAACAAGAAGCTACTAGGGGCTTGGCATCGCTACTAGTAAGAAGAAGCTACTAGGGTCTCCTGTAGTATCAAGAAGCTAACTAGGGGCTCCTTGCATCGCTGCTAGTAACAACAAGCAAACTAGGGGCTCCTGGCATCGCTAGTAACAAGAAGCTACTAGGGGCTCCTGGCATCGCTACTAGTAA